GAAATTTTGAGTAGTTCGTAGAACTGGCAAATACCACCTCTGGCTGGCCTCAGAGTGGGTAGGGAATGGAGATTGTGCAGTATCCTTCCCCTGCCACGCCCACCAAGCCACACCCTACCCACCAAGCCACACCCACAGAACTGGTAGTAAAAAAAATTGGATTTCCTCACTGGTCCATGTAATTGAAAGCATGACAACTAGGGAATTCTGGGAGTTGAAAATCCACCCATTTCAAAGTTGCCAAGTTTTGGGAGTTGCGATCCATACATAATTTCTTTCTTTCTTTCTCTTTCCTTCCTTCCTTCTTTCACTCTTTCTTTCTTTCTTTCTTTCTTTCTTTCTCTTTCCTTCCTTCCTTCCTTCCTTCCTTCCTTCCTTCCTTCTTTCACTCTCTGTCTTTCTTTCTTTCTTTCTTTTTCTTTCTTTCTCTTTCCTTCCTTCCTTCTTTCACTCTCTGTCTTTCTTCTTTTCTTTCTTTCTCTTTCCTTCCTTCCTTCTTTCACTCTCTGTCTTTCTTTCTTTCTTTCTTTCTTTCTTTCTTTCTCTTTCCTTCCTTCCTTCCTTCTTTCACTCTCTTTCTTTCTTTCTTTCTCTTCCTTCCTTCCTTCTTTCACTCTCTGTCTTTCTGTCTTTCTTTCTTTCTTTCTCTTCCTTCCTTCGTTCATTCCTCTCTCTCTCTTCATCCATCTACCTACCTACCTACCTACCTATCTACCATCTTCCATTTTCAGAAGGGACTTGGCCTGGCCTCCCCCTTCCCAGGATTGCTTCAAGACCCTCAGCTGGCTTTGTGTTACCACAGGACTCCAACTTGCAAACTTCCTGCTTTCTAGTGTAGGAAGTTAGCACCCACCCCTTCTCCTAGAAGAATGAAATATTTTAGGAAGCATTAAAAAGGCAGAATATATTTCCTTGGATGAGAAATGGAGAAACATGTTTTAAAGACAAAGCAGCTCCCACCTTCCCGCCTCCCTCCCCCCCACCTTTGTCAATGGACCATCATCTGCAACACAATAGGACCCATCTAGCAACAGAAACTCCCCATATGGCATCTGGGGTGATTACATCAGCCAGCAAGGCTAGCTAAGACCCCCCACCCCTGGGAGTCTGACAACCAATCAGGATACTCTTCCTATGCCCCAGAAAGTTCAAAGCCAGGGAAGGTATAAAACTCAGGGACTCTCAGCATTTCTGTCCTTTTCTGTTCAGGAACTCAAACCATGTGATCCTGTCCACCATTAAACCATCTTTCCAAGCAATCTCCATGTTTCCAATGTCTTTTTCCCCACTTGGAGCTGAAGCCAGGAGGATATTTCTTGCAACACTAGCCTGATGCATTTAGCTACGATACTAAATTGCCTCTCATATTATTTAGAGACATTGTGAACATCTCTGTGTAAAAGTAGACCTTAACTTCATCCTATAAAAATAAACATGTAACCAAGCATTCCAAATGATTGAAAACGTTTTGCTTCTTGGCCGAGAAGGGAAACGTTTTCAAAAGAAGGAAACCAAGGGAAGTCCAGTTGCCTTTTGGAAAAAACAAAAACTTTTGGGACAACCATGACCTCCATCACTGAGAATCTCCAAAGACATTCGGTTTCCAGTTTTAAGTCTCTTAACAAGGTACGAAAGCCTGAGAGTAGCTTGTTTGTAGTCTGATTGTGGTTTGTCTAAGCATGCAGATTACCATTCTTGTTAGTATCTTGTCTCCATGAAAACAGCACAAAGAGCCTGTACCCAACATACATGAGTTATGCTGTCAGATCCATTAACTTTCAGTTCAGTCAACTTTAATAACTAATAACTTGGAAGAGGAGCGATCGGACTCCCAACTTTTTTGCCAGCCAGTTCTCTTGTTTCTTAACAAGAAATTCTATTTACCCTTTTAGACTACACAATTAATTTCCACCCAAATAGGTGTCTTGATATGTACAATCCATACTTTTTTCTATTTTAAATATAATACATTGCATTCAAATAATCTGCTAAAGCCACAGTTAAACCACAACTCATTGGATTTATACAACACTCTAAGGCAGTGTTTCTAGCCTTGGGAACTTTAGGATATTGGACTTCAACTCCCAGAATTCTGCAAGTTGAAGTTCATGCCTCTTAAAGAATGATGGCTGGGGAATTCTGGGAGTTGAAGTTCATGCCTCTTAAAGCATGATGGCTGGGGAATTCTGGGAGTTGAAATACATGCCTCTTAAAGCATGATGGCTGGGGAATTCTGGGAGTTGAAGTTCATGCCTCTTAAAGCATGATGGCTGGGGAATTCTGGGAGTTGAAGTACATGCCTCTTAAAGAATGATGGCTGGGGAATTCTGGGAGTTGAAGTTCATGCCTCTTAAAGCATGATGGCTGGGGAATTCTGGGAGTTGAAGTACATGCATCTGAAAGCAGGGGTCAGACCTCATGGACCATTAAATTCATAATTTTGAATCCCGTGGACCACTAATATGATATTTTTAAAAAGATAAATAGCATTTAGTGCAATATAAAAAAAATGCAAATAATTTTTCTGCGGACCACCAAAATTTTCTCACGGACCACCAGTGGGTCCACAGACCACCAGTTGGTGACCACTGTTTTAAAGCATGATGGCTGGGGAATTCTGGGAGTTGAAATCCACCCATCTCAAAGTTGACAAGTTTGAAAAATACTGCTCTACAGCACAAATGGGGTTTGTCTTTGTAGCCCAGAACCTCATCAGTTTCATAATACTGAAATCTGACAGCAAGATTTCATATTGTCATCTTTCCTTTTTTTAAAAATATTTTAAGAACTTTAAACCAGACATGCTGAACATGTCTGAGTTTATGCTACTTGGCTCATTGTGGTTCAGCTCTGGTCTTAATATATTTTGTGCATCCTATGTCCCCATTGTGCTATAAGACAATTTATCTGGACCCCTGTGTGATGAGAACACAGTCACTGCCCAAGTCTTTTGCATAAACAGAAAAAGCTTGGATTATCCCCCAAATCAGAAAACAAAAGAGTCCTTCCAACATTTGGAAAGGAAATTACTTTGTCCCAATCTGAGGCTATCTCGGCGGACAGGGAGAATTTTGGGCCACAGATACCTGCAAAACTACTTTCTCATCAAAGGAGGGGGGGGGAAAATTCTCAGGCAAGTTTTTTTTCTGCAGTTGTTTTGGTTAGGATGCAAACTTTCTGAGCCTTAATCTCTCTCCTCCCTTCGGCCCATCTGGATTTGAAATTATATGCAGCGGGTAGCCCTTGTTTAGCAAACACAATTGGGACCCGCGACTCAGTCATTAAATGCAACGGTCGCTAAGTGAAACTTCAAACGTGCTTACGATCTGACTTCGGAATTCTTCTGCTTTTCAGTAGAAGCCATCAATGCAAAGCAACTTAGGATCATAGAATCCTAGGGCAGGAAGGGATTTTAAAGATCTTGTAGTCCAACCCCTTGCAATCTCCAGAGACATCCAGCAGGTTCTGACAGGTTCTGGAGAACCGGTAGCGGAAATTTTGAGTAGTTTTGAGTAGTTCGGAGAACCGGCAAATGCCACCTCTGGCTGGTCCCAGAGTGGGGTGGGAATGGGGATTTTGCAGTATCCTTCCCTGCCACGCCCACCAAGCCACGCGCACATAACCGGTAGTAAAAAAATTTGAATTTCACCACTGCCCTGTACTACCCTACTTATATGTCTGTCCAGTCTTTTCTTGAAAACCTCCAGGGATGAAGCCCCTACAACTTCTGGAAGGAAGCCATTTCACCAATTAATTGTTCTCATTCTTAGGAAATTCTTCCTTAGTTCTGTCTGAGTTTTCTCTGATAACTTTCCACCTGTTACTTCTTGTTATTGCAAATGGTCAGTAAACAAGATAAGTCACTAAACAGGAACTACCTGTCTGGGCTCTTTGTAATGCTCTTTTTATATATATATAAATATATATATATATATATATATATATATATATATATATATATATATATATATATATATATATATAAATGGGCCCTGGCTTGGGAAAGGCTGGGTTAAACAGATCTCTGCTTTGATTTGAGCTAAGATCTCTTGAGGTTTTCAGGGGAGTATCGTGGTGGGAGCCCCCACCCACGCAGGGTGGCCCAAATTGGCCCCATGGGAGGACAGGGATTCAATCAAGATCAAGGGAGGTACTAACTCCACTCTATAAAGCCTTGGTAAGGCCACACCTAGAATCCTCCATCCAGTTTTGGTCACCACACTATAAAAAGATGTTGAGACTCTAGAAAAAATGCAGAGAAGAGCAACCAGGATGATGAGGGGACTGGAGGCTCAAACATACGATGAACGGTTGCAGGAACTGGGCCCGGCTAGTCTAGGGAAGAGAAGGACCAGGGGAGACAGGATAGCAGTCTTACAATATTTGAGGGGCTGCCTCAAAGAGAAGGAAGGGGGTCCAGCTATTCTCCAAAGCACCTGAAGGCCAGACAAGGAAGAATGGATGGAAACTGACCAAGGAGAGATTCAACCTGGAAATAAGGAGAAATTTCCTGACAGTGAGAACAATCAACCAATGAAACAGAAGTTGCTGGCTAGCAAATCAAAGAGGGAGGGAGGGAGGAAGGAAGGAGAGATAGGTAAAGGTTAGAGTGGAAGAGAAAAAGAGAAAGGAGAATGAAAGAAAGAAAGAAAGAAAGAGAAAGAGAGAGATGTTGAGACTAGAAAAAGTGCAGAGAAGAGCAACAAGGATGATGAGGGGTCTAGAGGCTAAAACATATGAAGAACGGTTGCAGGAACTGGGCCTGGCTAGTCTAGTGAAGAGAAGGACCAGGGGAGACAGGAGAGCATCTTCCAATACTTGAGGGGCTTTTGCAGAGAGGAAGCGGGTCAAGCTATTCTCCAAAGCACCTGAAGGCCAGACAAGGAATAATGGATGGAAACTGACCAAGGAGAGATTCAACCTGGAAATGAGGAGAAATTTCCTGACAGTGAGAACAATCAACCCATGGAACAGAAGTTGCCTTCGGACGTTCTGGGAGCTTCATCCCTGGAGGCTTTCAAGAAGAGACTGGACTGCCATCTGTCAGAAATGGTGTAGGGTCTCCTGCTTGGGCGGGGGGTTGGACTAGATGACCTACAAGGTCCCTTCCAACTCTGTTCATCTGTAAAAAAAAAAAATCAGTCATCTCTGCTCGTGGGACAACCCGAAGCACGCTTCGTCAGACACGGACAAGCGCCGTCCTATCTTGGATAAGCTCACTCTGCTCCTCAGAGGAAAATCCTGAGAGAAATGGGAGCCTTCCAGTCTCGGGGTGCGCCCGCTTTCTGGGATGCTGTCAGGCAGCAACCCAGGTGGACATGGCACCTTTCCCAAAAGGTGAGCTTCCGGAGGTCCAGCTGGGTTTACGCAACTCAGCGGCCTTTGAGGAGACCTCAGAACGGGCTTGTGGGCAGGAGCAGTCGTCTCCATTTTGGACGCTCCGGGAGAGCCGTCCACCTCGCCGTAGGAATAAGTTTGCATCCTCCGCATGGGAGCCTGGGCCACGTGTCTCTCCTTGGCGAGGGCCACGGCCTCATCGAACGACATGCTCCCGCTGTAACGCCAGTTGCTCCAGCGCTGCTTCTGGGGAGCGGTGCCCTCCAAGGCGGACCTCTCCGCTCCGTAACGATGTCCTCCTTTCCCTTCGTCGTGTGGGCCGCTGCTCTGTTTCTCCCAACTGCCCTGTGTGAGATGAAGGCTGCCGACTCCAACGTCTCCACTCTTGGACCACGAAAAGCATTTGTCCCGTAAAGAAGGAGAGGGCTTCGGGGTGATGTCCTCCATGTTCTTACAGTCCTTGCTGAACTTCTCCAAGCTCACCGGCATGGAGTTGCGTTGCTTCGGGAGGGTCTCCGAACAGCTGCAACAATTCTCAGAAGAACTGGATGGGCTAGGAGATGTTGGAAAATGTTCCATCTTTTGGTCCGAGCTGGTCAGGTGGAAAGGCCTTTTCAAAGAGCTTTGGTTGAGTTCCTGCTTGGTCCCATTCTCACAGGCCTTCACTGGGATGGCGATGAGATGTTCCTTGCTGGGAATCACTGGCTTTAAGGAAGGAGGCACCTTAGCAAATTGAGGCTTCGGGGGCACCACCGGAAATGATTTCACTTGCTGAACTCGGGGTGTGGTAGATGTCAACTTCATGTGGACGCTTCCATCCGAGAATTCGTGTTTCGGAGCATACGAAACTTCCACCGGCAATCCAGGCTGGGGTTTCTGCAGAAGACTTTCCAGGCAAGGTTTCGGAGGAGAAGCTGGGAGGGAGAAATCTTCAGAGTCCATGTCAGACAAAAGTGCAGGGAAATAAGAAAGAGATGTATGTTCTGGATCCGGTGCTGGGAAGCTTACGTTCTCAGAATTATTGTCCAGTAAAGAAGGAATCAGACTTTGAAGTAAGTTGAGTTCCAACATAGATGAAGCCACATCTCCATGGTGCTTTTCTCCCATCTCTTGAACCATAAGGGTATCACCCAAGGGTTGATTGCATCTTCCAACCACCTCTGGAGGAACATCTACTCTCATGCTGCAAGGAAGATGTGGAATCTGTTCACTTTCAGGTGTGTTCTGAGGTTGCCACTTCTCTTCAATACTTGATTTGATTGGTTGGGTTTCAGACTCTGGACCGCGAGGTGTTTGGCAGGCAACTTTTTCAGGACAACCAGCTCTGGGGACAAAGAGATCCACTCCATTTCTATCTTCTATCTGCAACGATGAAATAACGGGTTCTACCTTACTATCCTCGGCGTTTTTCCCCACAGATTCTGAATCCAGAGATTCTGGGTAAGCAACTTCTTCAGGACATTCAATTTTGGGGACAAAGAGGCCGACCTCACTTCCAACATGTGCATCTTTGATCTGCAACATTGAAAAGATGGGTTCTACCTCAGCTTTGTCAGTCAGGTGGCTTTCCATCTCGTTGGTGTTGCTTCTGGAACCCAATTCCACTTCATGCGGCTTGGCTAAGTATAGATCCAGGTCCTTGGTTACGACTAGATCACGAGTGGACATAGTAGTAACCTCCTCGTCACCTTGTTCAGGTTCCAGGCCAGGTTCTGGTAAATGTGAGCTCTTTGGATCTTCAACCAAGGTTTCGGCAGCCATCTTGGAGGTTTGATCTTCCTCTGTGAGTTTTGGGGAGGGGATGTGAGGAGTTTGACCTACATCCGATTGCTGAAGTTGTTCTAGTTTGCTAGCTATGGGGCTGAGATCATCAAAAGCGCTCAGATAGACTTCTTCAGCATCGACCTCCTTAGATGGCTCTTCCTCGATGTATCCCATGGCGAGATAATACTGGTCGTCATCTCCTTCCAAATGCTCATTCATGCATTCTTCAATGGACAGGTAATCCAGATGTGGCACCATAGAATACATTTCCAGCTAAAGGGGGGGCGGGGGTGGAAGGAAGGAGAAAGCGTTAGAAACAAAGACCTGCAACTAATTTCTCAAGAATGAATAGCGAAGGTAAGCATTTAATAATTTTCACACGGTTAATTTGAAAAAGAAAAAAAATCAGAGAATTTTTAACTTCCACTTTCTCATCATAAAATCAATGAGAATCGTACTTGCCATTTTAGGCATTAGGTGAAGGCTCTAGGCTAGAAACCAGGAGAAAGGGAGTTCTAGTCCTCCCTTAGGCATGAAAGCCAACTGGGTGACTTTGGACCAATCACCAGGAGAATGTGAGTTCTAGTTCTGCCTTAGCCATGAAAATCTGCTCAGTGATTTTGGGCCAATCACCAGGAGACGGTGAGTTCTAGTTCTGCCTTAGCCATGAAAATCTGCTCAGTGATTTTGGGCCAATCACCAGGAGACGGTGAGTTCTAGTTCTGCCTTAGCCATGAAAATCTGCTCAGTGATTTTGGGCCAATCACCAGGAGACGGTGAGTTCTAGTTCTACCTTAAGCACAAAAGCTGGCTGGGTGACTTTGGACCAATCACCAGGAGATGGTGAGTTCTAGTTCTGTTTTAGGCATGAAAGCTGGCTGGGTGACGTTGGGACCAGGAGACAGGGAGTTCTAGTTCTATCTTAGCCATGAAAATCTGCTCAGTGACTTTGGGCCAATCACCAGGAGACGGTGAGTTCTAGTTCTGCCTCGGGCACGAAAGCCAGCTGGGAGGCTTTGGGCCAGGACGCATTCTCTCAGCCCAAGCCAACTCACAGGTCGTTGTTGTGGAGAAAAGAGCAGGAGGAAAGCCACGAGAAGGAAATCCACCCCCAAAATACCAAGCGAGAAGAAAGCGTCCAAAGAGAACTCTTTCTCTTCTTCACAATGCCCTCCCTACTGTTGCTCAGAAAGTCCATTTTTCTCAGGCCGGGGGAAAAAAAAAAGGGGGGGATAAGAGAAAGATGGCCACATCAAGGCACTCGCCTCCATCCCAGCTGCGATCATCTCGTTCATAAACCCGCTTCCCAAATCCTCTTCCATGCTTGGGACGGTGTCCAAGCTGCGTGGGGGAACCTCAGGGCCTTTCCCGGCATCTGTCTTCAGCTGTTCTTCCTCTAGCACGTTGTCAATCCAGCCATCGGGGCCGTCCAGGAACGAGAAGGAATCCTCGACTTCCATAGACATCTGGCTCTCCATTTCGGCTTCGAAGTTTGTTCCTAAAATGCACGCAAGCAAAAAAAACAAAATTCAGTGCATATTTCACAGTAGGGACTAGGTCCTTGCTGAGTACAAATACAGGTAGCCCTTGACCTATGATCAGAGGTGGGTTTCAGCAGGTTCTCACCAGTTCTGGAGAACCGGTAGCGGAAATTTTGAGTAGTTCGGAGAACCGGTAGTAAGCATTCTGACTGGCCCCACCCCCATCTATTCTATTTATTTTATTTATTTATTAGTTCAATTTATGTGCCGCCTTTCTCCGGAGACTCAGGGCGGCTTACAATGCCTCCCAAGTCCCAGCTGATTGGGAGGGAATGGTGGGCGTGGCTTGGTGGCGTGGCTTGGTGGCAGAGGTGGGTTTCAGCAGGTTCTGACCAGTTCTGGAGAACCGGTAGCGGAAATTTTGAGTAGTTCGGAGAACCGGTAGTAAAAATTCTGACTGGCCCTGCCCCCATCTATTCTCTGCCTTCTGAATCCCAGCTGATCGGGAGGAAATGGGGATTTTGCAGTAACCTTCCCCTGAATTGGGGAGGAAATGGGGATTTTGCAGTAACCCTCCCCTGGAGTGGGAAGGGAATGGAGATTTTACCGTATCCTTCCCCTGCCACGCCCACCAAGCCACACCACGCCCACCAAGCCACGCCCACAGAACCGATGGTAAAAATTTTTGAAACCCACCACTGCCTATGACCCACAACTGAGCCCAAAATTTCTGCGGTTAAGTGAGACAGTTGTTAAGTCAGTTTTGCCCCATTATGCCACCTTTCTTGCCACCGTTGTAAAGCAAATCACTGCAATTGATAAGGTTGACTTGTCCTTCCATCCTTCCGAGGTGGGTAACATTGAGGACCCAGGTTGTTGAGGGGCAAGAGGCTGACTCTGTAAACTGCTTAGAGAGGGCTGTAAAAACACTGTGAAGCGGTATATAAGTCTAAGTGCTATTGCTATTGCCCTTCCTTCCTTCCTTCCTTCCTTCCTTCCTTCCTTCCTTCCTTCCTTCCTTCCTTCCCTCCTTCCCTCCTTCCCTCCTTCCTCCCTCCCTCCCTCCCTTCCTTCCTTCCTTCCTTCCTGTCAAGTATTTGCAAGCCATTGGCACATATATCATACAGACACTAGTGGAGGCAGAAAGTGCCCCCACCCCTATGTGGAGAGGAGGGGCTTACACTGAGTATAAAACCCCCTCTAACCTTTCCACCAAGCTCTCTTTTTCGTTTGTTCTCCATGAGACATGATCTTTGATAGGGGTGGTCACACACGCTGTGTGCCCCCCATCCTAATGGATATTAAGACAGCCTTTGTATATAGTTAATATGCTTTGTTATATAAATAAATACATTTATCACATTTATTCATGCATCTGCCTTTGGACTCTTCTATGCTCCTGGGTGTTTCTACGATCCCAATTTCCACACTTCCGTTGTAGACTGGAAATAGATGATGTCATATCCCTCCCCCTCGCTTGAGGGACGGCCGTTCAATTTTGACATAGATGGTTTCTTTGACCCCTCTTTTAAACCAACCGTGCACTCTGTCCAAAATGAGGACTTTGCTGTCTTCAAAAAAGCGGCCTTTGTCTTTTAACTGTAAATGGACTAATGAATCTTGTCCTGATGGGTTTGTTCTCCTATGTTGTGCCATGCGTTTATGAAGTGACTGTTTTGTTTCCCCAATATACACCATCCATCTCCAGTGTACAACACAGTTCCAAGAAGGCTCCACCCCCCATTTGCGCTACTCAGGTAAACCTCCCAGTGGCCTCAACGACTCTTTAAAACGATGCAAATTTCCAGCTTTCTGCAAGGAGTATAAATCCTTCCATTCCCCACCATCCAGAGCTGAAGAAGCTTCTTGGATGAGAAGCAAAATGTCTTTGAAGAAAAAACAGTTGCATCCTGAAAAACACTTTTGGGAGAACCATGACCTGGATGACGGAGAATCTCGATAGATTTTTAGCTATACAGTTTGGGATGAGGACCCTTTGAATGGTGTGGGAGTAGGAATGGATTTCCAGAGGAAAAAAATTGCAGATTACAGGAATCATTTGCACCACTCAGGTGATCCTGAGGACACAGATAAACCTCCAAGTGTTGTGGCCCGTCAGCGGCCTGTGCAGCTAGTAGCTTATTCTGACAGTGAGGAGGCTGGTGTGGTGCTTCGCCAGCAGCTTGTCCAGCTGGCACTCGAGTCGGACAGTGAGGAGGCTGGAGAAGATGTGGTGCCAGAGGCGGGGATTCAGCCAGGGCCTTCAGAATCTCTAGAAACTTCCATAAGTGAAGAGGAAGAAGAGGAGGAGCCTCTTCTCGATGCACGAGTGCGCAGAGCTGCCAAAAGGCAGGAGTGGCTCCTCAGGAGGAGATCTCCTCGAGAGTAAGGCTCGGGGCTAATTGGCCACTCCCTTAGCCTATTTAAGGAGGAACGCCGATTGAAGCAAGCTGTAGGGAACAACTTTAGTTCACTCTCCTTCGCGTCTGGATCTTAGTTCTCTTATCAGTTCCCTGCAAATTGCTTCTGGGCTTTCTGCCAACCCTAGTAAGATTACGATTATTTATTCTTTGGATTCTTGTAGGCTGTTAAGAAAGTTAATTCACAGCCTTTGTTTGAAAAAAAAAACTGATTTAATTTAGTAAACTAAGGTTTGTACAGACTTTGTGTGGGCTGAGTTCTTTGGGGTCCGTAGCTGGGGCCGAACACCAAGTGGCCTCAATGACCCTCTAAAAAGGATGCAAATAAACAGCTCTGTCTGCAAGGAGTATCAATCCTTCCATTTCCTTCCATCCAGTCAGAGATGAAGAAGCTTCTTGGAGGAGAAGCGAAACGTCTTCAAAAGAAAAACCAGAAAGTCCAGTTGCCCCTTGAAAAAATCATCTTTGGGAACAACCAGGACCCGGATGATTGAGAATCTCCATAGACGAGTAGTAGGAATGCGCAATTCGCTAAGTTAAGAGGCTACATTGATTAAGGAACTGGTTTCCTCTTAATATGGAGCGTGTACCCTAATTTATATTTATAATTTTATTTATTTTTATTAGTCATATTTCTATGCCGCCCACTCTCCGAGGATTCTGGGCGGCTTACACCAAAGACAGTATACTAAATATTGGCATATTGACCCCTAACAATCTGGGTCCTCATTTGACCCACCTCGGAAGGATGGAAGGCTGAGTCAACCTTGAGCCGGTGAGATTTGATCCACTGATCTGCTGAACTAGCAGTCAGCTGAAGTAGGTGCAGTACTGCACTCTAACCACTGCACCACCTCAGCTCTAAATATCTTGATATTTGAAAGAGCTGGAGCCACAAGCGAAGCCATCCCTCTGGACTGCTGCTTTTGGAATCATTACTTCCTGCCCTTGACAACAGTTTAACTGGTTAGGGTCACTGTTGGGAAATTCCTCCTAGGTTTGATTAGTTTCCATCCATCGCTTCTTGTCTTGCTTTCTGGTGCTTTGGAGAATAGCTGGACCCCCTTCTTCAACCTATTCTCCAAAGCCCCAGAAGGCAGGACAAGAAACAACAGATGGAAACTCATCCAGGAGAGAAGCAACCTGGAATTAAGGAGAAACTTCCTAACAGGGAGGACAATTAACCAGTGGAACTGCTTGCCACCAGAAGTTGTGAGTGCTCCATCCCTGGAGGTTTTTAAGAAGAGACTGGACAGCCACTTGTCCCAAATGGTATAGGGCCATGATGCCAAACCTATGGCACACGTGCCACAGGTGGCACACGGAACCATGTCTCTTGGCACGCCAGCTCAGCTCCGGCGCTAGGAATCTCTGGAGGCTGGGGACAGCAAAAAAAATCACTTCCTGTCCAACCGGAAGTTGGGAAATGGGCCATTTCAGGCCTCCGGAGGGCCTCCGAGAGGGTGGGGGAAGGCTGTTTTCGCCCTCCCCAGATGCATAGAGAGGATCTGGAGCCAGGTGAGAAAGAAAAACGGGCCTACTGGGCCATCGCGTGCCAGGAGCGGGGGAGAGAGGGGTCACAATCACATCTGCGGAGCGGCACGCATAGAATTATGGCTGTAGGCACATGCGTGCGCGAACCTCCCCCGCTCCCCCCCTTCCTGGCACATGATGACAAAAAAGTTAGCCATCACTGGTATAGGGTCTCCTGCTTGACAGGGTTGGACTAGATGACCTCAAAGTTCCCTTCCATTCCCTTAGAATGTTATTCTAAGTCTAACATTCAGAACAATTAACCAGTGGAACAGCTTAACACCAGAAATCATGGGAGCTCCATCAATGGAGGCTTTTAAAGAAGAGACTGGACAATCATTTGTCTGACATAATATAGGTTCTCCTGCTTGAGCAGGGGGTTGGACTAGAAGACCTCCAAGGTCCCTTCCAACTTGGTTATTCTGTTCTGGTGTTCTGTTCTATTACTATCAGTCTCGAATGCAATACAAATATCAACACTGACCTTCGTCTGCTTCCTTATTTGCAGTGAGGGCAGACATGAGTTTCTCATTGTCTTCTGTCATCCTGGGAAAATCTTCTCCGTTGGAAGGAATGGCCTCTGGAGTCTCGAAGCTGGTGTAGCTCAGTGCTGGACACTCCAGACCTCTGGTCAACCGGGACAAAGTGAGGTTGGACGTGATGTGGAAGGGGACGGTGACTGAGAAAGGTCCCGAGATATGGACCCCGGCACATTTCTCAGCCCGGTTCCTGGAGCTCTTGGGTGAACGTCCTTGAGAGGTCCCTCCGATGAGACCGGACCTGGTGGCTTTGGGGGTGGTGGGTTCTGACTTGGTGGCTTCCTCCTGCGTGTCTTCGCATTTGCTCTTGGCAGACATGTACGCGGATTCCGAGAAGCTGCTGTCAAGTGAAACTGGGCCGTCAAAACTCTCGTGTTTTGGAGGCATCTCGGTCCCCAGGTGAGCATCGTCTGCATGCCAAAGAGAGGGACCAATCAGTGAGAGTCGTGGAGCAACGCCCAGGTATTCAACCAATGGAATGGAATGGAATGGAATGGAATGGAAGAGGAGAGGAGAGGAGAGGAGAGGTGAGGAAAGAAGAGAGGAGAGGAGAGGAGAGGAGAGGAGAGGAGAGGAATAAAGAGAAGAAGGGAAGGGAAGAGGAGAAAAGAGAAGAGAAGAGATGTAGAGAAATAAAGAAATAATAGAGAAATAGAGGAGAAATAGAATAGGAGAGGACATAACAGAACAGAAGAGAATAGGAATACCACAGTGGTGGGTTCCTCCCGGTTCAGTCCGGTTCGGCCGAGCCGGTAGCAGTGACGATATGATGTCACTGAACCGGTTCTCCCCCCCCCGCCCCCCCCACCCCCCACATTATTCTTACCTTTTATTTGGCCCCACCCCCAATCTATTGCTGCCTCCTGAGTCCCAGCTGATGACTAGAGGGGAAAAAAAACTGTTTAAACTCTTGCCGCGGGGCTTCAAAGGGCCGCCCTACAGCTGATCAGTGTTAAAAGCAAACAGATGAGTCGGGTCGTAAGTGCAAGGACTGGTCGTAAATGCGAGGACCTTCCAGAAATGACTCTGACCAGCTAGCCACGCTCACCTAGTCACATGACCTCCAAGCCACACCCACAAAATAAGCCACGCCCACATAACCAGTAGTAAAAAAATGTAGAACCCACCCCTGGAATACCACAGAACAGAACAAAATAGAATAGAAATAACAGAACACAACATAATAGAATAGGAATAGGACAGAACAGAACAGAATAGGAAAAAAACAGAACGGAATAAAAATGGAACAGAACAGAATAGAATAGGAATAGCACAGAACAGGACAGACTAGGAATAAGACAGAACAGAATAAAAAGAGAACAAAACAGATTAAACTAGAATAGGAATAGGACAGAACAAAACAGAACAGAATTATACAGAATTATTCCTGATGCTTTCCCCCCCGCCCTTTCCCCTTTTATCTATACCTCTTTTTCTCCTTTCTTTCCCTTCCCCATTTTCCTGCTATCTTTTATTTTCGTTTGGATTAACTTATTTATTTATTTATTAAATTTGTACGCCGCCCGCCTCGCTATCAAGTGACTTCGGGTGGCTTCCACTACCATGAATAAATAAAAATAAAACAACAGTATGAACATTCTAATAAAATTGTTATGAAACAAGGAAGCCAACCAGCCGTCTCTCCCATGTCTCTGGCTGGGTGGGATCACCAGGAATGAGAGAGCTAGAGGAAGCAAATATTTACCGTATTTTTCGGAGTATAAGATGCACCGGACTATAAGACGCACCTACCTTTTTAGGTGAGGAAAAGAAGAAAAAAGAAATCTCCCTCTGCCTCTGAGCAATTTTGCCTCGTTGCAGCAAACAGCAAACAGCCTGCTTTACTTTCATTTTCGTTTTCAGCATAGCTTGATTAGCACAAGGGAAAAAAAATCTGCTCCCAGTCATTTACCTCCTTGCAGCAAGCAGCAGAGGTCCGTGCAGTAAAATAGGCAATCCCTGCAGCCTGAAACAGCTGAGAGTCGGGAGGCCGATCCAACGGACAATCAACTGGTGCTAATTAGGCTGTGCTGAAGCTGAAAGGAGCTGTTTCTTCTTGCTGCTTGCTGCAAGGAAGTAAACTGCTGGGAGGCAGAAGCCAAAGAATGGGGGCCAGTGGGTGGGCGGGGCTACATTCGGTGTATAGGACACACCTAAATTTTCACCCCCTTTTGGGGGGGGGGAAAGGTGGATCTTATACTCTGAAAAATACGGTAATCATCATTTCTCCCATCCCACGGGAGGTTACAAATGGTTTAACCATAGTTGGTATCGGATTTATAATCTATTGTGTGAATAGGATCGTAGAATTTTTTTTATTTATTTTTTTACAGATTTTGGCTGGTTTTTCGACCTACCGTCACCGACAGACTGCATGCAGCTGAGTGAGTCCATGCTTTTGGCTGGACGTAAGCGCATCTTACCCAGTTTGTCATCTGGAACAGAAAAGACAGGACTGAGCTGTATCAACAAGAATTCCCTGAATGTTGTGGTCCGCCAGCAGCGGAGTCGGACAGCGACGAGGCTGAGGAAGAACAGGGGCCAGTCCTGGAGGCTGGGGAAGGCCCGGATGAGGGCTCTGCGTCGGAGGCAGAGATGGGGCCAGGGCCATTGGAGTGTGATGTGTGGAGTCCGGAGCCTCCAGAGGCTGACAGTAGAGAGGCAGAGGAACAGGAGGAGCCTGTTCCTAGTGCATGCATGAGAAGAGCTGCCAAAAGGCAGGAGCAGCTCAAGCAAAGAGGACGACTCAGGAGTAAGGCCAAGAGATGATTGGCCCCTCCCATAAGGCTTAAAAGGCCAGCAACGGCTCTTGGGCTCTTTGCCGGAAAACAACGTTGAGAGATTTGCTTCTTGTTTCACTGTATTCATTTCTTGTCGGCGTCTTCTGCTTCTGAGCTTTTGCCAAGAAAAGCCTTTGGCACTTTGCCTAATTATCCCAAGGTCGGTGATAAACTATGGAATGGTGTTTTGAAGAATTTGCTTTCATTTAGTTTGGACGACGCTGAGAAGGAGTTAATTCTCAGCTGTTCTAATAAAGTCTGTTTGTTTCCGAACTGTTTGCGTTTAATACTAACTACTTGGGCCTGGGACACAACACTCAACCTCAAATGTTTCTGTTACGAATGCAGATTTTTTTTTCCTTACAAAAAACAAAAAACAAAACAGCCCCCCCCCGGGAAAATTCAGGTCATCCTCAACTTATAACCAGTCGCTTAAAGAACGTTCAAAGTTGCAATGGACTGTAAAAAAAATAGAACTGGTTCAAACGGGCCAGACATAAAGTTTTGAACTTTAGTAACCTGAAAACTGATTATAATGTGGGAAAGACGCCTCCTGAATATGCAAGTTGTGTGTTAACAAGATCAGGCTAAGACTATCATGGGATGATATGGAATGTTACGTGATACACATCAAGCTAGTGAGAATGCTTACTGGATTAGGTTTTTGACTCGTAAGTCTTTTTGACTTTCCTTGGTCTTCATTGATCCATGGTGTCCCCAGAACCAGCAGCAGGAGGAGAAATGTACCCCTCCCATTAGGGGACCCCCGTTTTGACCCCCTCCGAAGAACCCTGTGATGGTAGCCTTTCCCTAGCCCCGTCCTTGGAAAGCTGGGGTGAATGCACACTGGGGAAGGGAGAGCTCTCTGAGTTGTTCTTCCATGACATGGGAGACAGGCAGGGGTGGGATTCAGCCAATTCAGACTGGGTTGGGCAAAACGGATATTAATTTTAATCTGATTTGCTGAACTGGTAGTTGCAAGAACTAGCTGACCCCACCCACCCCGCCACACCCCTCCCAGGAGTCTCCATGCGGCCCGTTTTGGATGCCTGGTAAATGCAGGGCCTCCACGGAAGCTCCGAGAGAGCGAAAAATGGGCCTCCTGGAAGTTCCAGAAGTCTGGAAATGGGCTCATTTCTGGCCTCTGGAGGGCCTCCGGAGCCCAGGGGAACTCGAGAAAAGCCTCCGGAGCCTGGGGAGGGTGAACAAAGGGCCTACCGGAAGTACCAGAAGTACCGGAAGTCCAAAAACGGGCCTGTTTCTGGCCTCCAGAGCCTGGGGGTGGCTGTTTTTGTCCTCCCAGAGACTCAAGGAAAGCCTCCAGAGCCTGGGGAGGGTAAAAAATGGGCCTACTGGAATTACCAGAAGTCCAAAAACGGGCCTGTTTCTGGCCTCCGGAGCCCGGGGGAGGCCGTTTTCGTCCTCCCAGAGGCTCAAGGAAAGCCTCTGGAGCCTGGGGAGGGCAAAAACGTCCCCGCCTCATGGTGTAGGAGGCCGAATAGGCCATGGCCACCATGGCCACGCCCACCCAGAAAGCTAGCAGAGAACCGATTGCTAAAATTTCTGAATCCCTCCCCAGGGGGGCAAGCAACCACATGTGTGTGGCACGGAGGGCTATCTCCCGTGCATGGATTTCGCCTGGGTGAGGAGGACCAGGTGTCTCTTACCTTTGTCTTCCGCCTTATTCAACTTGCGTTTGGAGTCGTGGCTGGATCGTCCTAGGTTGAAGATGGACTTCCATTTCTTGGCCTTGATGGAGCCTTTTCTTCTGAAAAAGAGGTGGAATTCAGGTTACAAAGAATGCTGAGGGGGAAAGCCGTATATCTAGGGGACCTTGCCCCCTCCCCAAGGGATGAAGCTGGTGAGGCCAGAACCAAAGAATCCCAGGTCAATGTAGAACATAGAATAATAGGGTTGGGAGGCAACTTGGAGGTCTTCTAGTCCAACCCACTACCCATGGCAGGAGATCCTATACCATCCCAGACTTTATTTGGGCTAGAAGGGATGAATACATGTGATCATAGAGAGAAGGAAGGAAGGAAGGAAGGAAGGAAGGAAGGAAGGAAGGAAGGAAGGAAGGAAGTTGAAAAAAGGAAAGGAGGGAGGGAGGAAGGAAAGATAGGTTGGAAGGAAGGAAGGAGAAATAGAGGGGGAAGGGAGAAAGGAAGGAAAGGTAGGTTGGAAGGAAAGAAAGAAATTGAAAAAAGGAAAAGAGGGGGAAGGGAGAAAGGAAGGAAAGATAGGTTGGAAGGAAGGAAGGAAGAAAGAAAGAGAGGAAGGAAGGAAGGAGGAAGGAAGGAAGGAGAAATAGAGGGGGAAGGGAGAAAGGAAAGAAGAATAAGTAGGAAGGAAGGAAGGAAGGAAGGAAGGAAGGAAGGAAGGAAGGAAGGAAGGAAGGAAGGAAGGAGAAATAGAGGGGGAAGGGAGAAAGGAAAGAAAAATAAGGAAGGAAGGAGGGAGGGAGGGAGGGAAGGAAGGAGGGAGGAAGGGAAGGAGGGAAGGAAGGAAGGAAGAAAGAAAGAAAGGAAGGAGAAATAGAGTGGGTAGGGAGAAAGGAAATAAGAATAAGTAGGAAGGAAGGAAAGAAGAAAGGAAGGAGAAATAGAGGGGGAAGGGAGAAAGGAAGGAGAGATAGGAAGGAAGGAAGGAAGGAAGGAAGGAAGGAAGGAAGGAAGGAAGGAGAAATAGAGGGGGAAGGGAGAAAGGAAAGAAAAATAAGGAAGGAAGGAGGGAGGGAGGGAGGGAAGGAAGGAGGGAGGAAGGGAAGGAGGGAAGGAAGGAAGGAAGAAAGAAAGAAAGGAAGGAGAAATAGAGTGGGTAGGGAGAAAGGAAATAAGAATAAGTAGGAAGGAAGGAAAGAAGAAAGGAAGGAGAAATAGAGGGGGAAGGGAGAAAGGAAGGAGAGATAGGAAGGAAGGAAGGAAGGAAGGAAGGAAGGAAGGAAGGAAGGAAGGAAGGAAGGAAGGAGAAATAGAGGGGGGAGGCTTGCATACCAGTTCAAAATTGGAAAAGGAGAATCAATATCATACATAGGCGGGAAATAGATTTAACAATAAAATAAAGAAATTGCTCCCTAGGTATTGGCCTCAGTCGTGCCTTGAGAAAAACTGGATTAGAAACCACAAAGGTTGGGATCCCAATGGTTTAAGCGGCTGCCAGGGAAGGGGAGGTGCCTTAGTGGGCAGCACGAAAGCAAAGGGGGATGTTGCCAACTGGCAAGTCTGCTGGCTGAGGGTGAGGAGGGGTGGACCAACATCCTGCCGTGCGAAGAGCGGTCGGGCACAGACACAGCAGCAGTGGAGGAAAAAGATGGCTCCCACCATACTGGAGTTGACTGGGTGGCCTTTTGTCCAAGAAGAGCCAAGACCCTGGTGCTGATCATAGCTGGAGCAGTTAACTTATATGAGCAACGAAATTGAGGGGGGCTGACTGTCAACCATGATCCCAGTACGAGAGGTAGAACCTCAGCCTAGACGTGGTGGTTGAGCAGGGGGTGAAGACTGACCCTCCCAGGAGAGGAAATGGATTGACACCCCTGGGGATCCCTCTCCTTGTGAGTAAGGCAAAACCAGGGTGGTCTTCCAAGCGTCCTCTGGTTGTTTACTAGAGTAGGACCATCGTGTAGAAGAGACCTGGGTTAGGAGAAGCTGCTCTTCTCTTGGAGGGAGCCGGAGAAGGCAGAAGAGATGGCCGCTTACTTTTCGCTGAGTTCGATGATGGTGTGGTAGGGTCTCATCTGGGGGGGGCCGTCCCCCTGGTTCAGCATGGTGGGCACATTGTAGGGGGTGCAGTACTCAGGTAGGACCATCGGCGACAGAGCCAGCAGGGATCTCCGGATGGATTCACGGGTGCCACCTAGGAACGACGACAAAGAAGCTCTGCATTTAGATACACTTATATGGAATTGGAAGGGACCTTGGAGGTCTTCTAGTCCAACCCCCTGTGTAAGGTGCAGACCGCATATCATTCTGAACACATTGTTGTCCAATCTCGTCTTAAAAACCTCCAGTGATGGAGCAAGGCGTTCCACTGATTAGAATAGAGCTGGAAGAGACCTTGGAGGTCTTCTAGTCCAGCCCCCTGCTGAAGCAGGAGAACCTATACTGGGGATGGCTAACCTTTTTGCCATCACGTGCCAGGAGCGGGGGTGGGTGGGTGGTGTCACGCGTGTACCCACATCCATAATTCTATGCACCCTGCCCCTGCAATGCGTGCGCAACCCTCCCGCTCTCCCTGCTCCTGGCACGTGATGGCACGGTAGGCCCATTTTTTGCTCTCCCCAGCCTCCAGAGCCTTTCTAGGAGTCTGGGGAGGGCAAAAACAGCCTTCCCCACCCTCCCGGAGACCCTCCGGAGACAGGAAACAGTCTGTTTCCCTACTTCTAGTGGGCCCAGAAGGCCTGAAAATCAGCTGGCCAGAGCGCGCATGCGCACCGGAACTGAGCTCATGTGCCCACCGATATGGCTATGCATGCCACCTGTGGCATGTTTGCCATAGGTTCGCCATCATGGACCTATACCATTTCAGATAAGTGACTGTCTAGTCCACTGTTGGCAAACCAGCACCGAGTGCTGAAACAGGAGCGTTTGCGCGTGTGCTGGAAACTGGAAGAGCAGCCACCCGGAATGCATGTGCGTGCCGGGAAGATGATTTTCCAGTTTCCAGTGCATGCATGAGTATGTTGTGACCCAGGCCCAAGTAGGTAGTAATCGACGCAAACAGTTCCAAAACAAACAGACTTTATTAGAACAGCTGAGAATTAACTCATTCTCAGCATAGTCCAAACTAAATTAAAACAAACTCTTCATAACAAAAATTCTTCAGTCTAATCACCAACCTTGGTATAATTAGGCAAACTTCTCTTGGCAAAAGTTCAAAAGCAGAAGACACCAACAAGAGATAACTGCAGCAATACTATCAGTGTTGTTTTCCGACAAAGAGGCCAAGAGCCGTTGCTGGTCTTTTAAGCCTTATGGGAAGGGCCAATCATCTCCTGGCCTTACTCCCAAGTCGTCCTCTTTGCTTCAGCTGCTCCTGACTTCTGGCAGCTCTTCTCATACGTGCACTAGGAACCGGCTCCTCCTGTTCCTCTGCCTCTCTACTGTCAGCCTCTGGAGTCTCCAGAGTCCACTCATCACACTCCAATGGCCCTCCAATCTCTGCCTCCGACGCAGACCCTGCATCCGGGCCTTCCCCAGCCTCCAGGACTGGCCCATGTTCTTCCTCAGCCTCATCGCTGTCCGACTCCGCTGCCAGCTCCGCAGGCTGCTGGCGAACCACAACAGAGTATACCAGCTGCCTGGTTTCTGGCGTGTATGCGCATGCAAACAGCAACTGGCAGCTGTTCTTTGTATGCACACGCATGCCAGAAACTAGATGATCAGGCGGCCAGCACGCTTGTGCATGCTGGAAGCTGAAAGATCATCTTCCTGGATTGCACATGCACACCGGGCGGCTGCTCTTCCAGTTTCCGGCACTCCCGCGTGCATGAAAACCATCTGGCCGGTGCACCGGAAACCGGAAGAGCAACGGGCGATGGCTTGCGTGCCCAGAGAAATGGCTCTGCGTGCCACTTCTGGCACGCGTGGCATTGGTTCGCCATCACAAGTCTAGTCTCTTCTTAAAAACCTCCAGTGATGGAGCGCCTACAATTTCTGAAGGCAACTTCTGTTCCACTCGTTAATTGTCCTCACTGTTAGAGGAAGTTTGTCCTTAATTCCAGGTTGCTTCTCTCTTGGATTAGTTTCCAATCATTGTTTTCTTGCGCTTCGGAGAATAATTTGACCCTCCTCCTCTCTGGGGCAGCCCCTCAAATATTAGAAGACTGCTATCATGTCCTCCCAATCGTCCTCTTCATTCTTTTTGCCATCATGTGCCAGGAGTGGGGGGGGGGCGGGAGAGGTTTGCGCGTGTGGGGAGCCCACACCCATAATTCTATGTGCCCTGTGCATGCACGTGCAACCCCCCCTTCCCCCCGCTCCTGGCACAGGATGGCCCGGTAGGCCCGTTTTTCTTTCTCACCTGGCTCCAGATCCTCTCTATGCATCTGGGGAGGGCGAAAATAGCCTTCCCCATCCCCCCGGAGGCCTGAAACGGCCCATTTCTCAACTCCCAGTTGGACAGGAAGTAACGTTTTTTGCTGTCCTCAGCCTCCAGAGCCATCCCCAAATGCATAGAGAGGATCTGGAGCCAGGTGAGAAAGAAAAACGGGCCTTTCCCACCCCCACAGGTCCTTCGGAGGCAGGAAACAGCCTGTTTCCCTACTTCTGGTGGGCCCAGAAGGCCCAAAAATCAGCTGGCCGGTGCGTGCATGCGTGCCAGAGCTGAGCTGGCATGCCCACTGATATGGCTACGTGTGCCATGCGTAGCCATAGGTTTGCCATCACGGGACCAGACACATCTAGCACCCTCAATTGTTCCGTTCATCATATGACCTAGGACAGCGGTGTCAAACTTGATTTCATTGAGGGCCACATCAGGGTTGTGTTCAACCTTGGGGGGCCAGGGTGTGCGTGGCCAGGTTGGGCGTGGCCAGCTTGATGTCACTCATGTCGGGGGCATCTGTGGTGGCCCAAGCGCTCTGCCAGCAAAAATGAGTTCATGAGCTCCGTGTCAGCGTCTCAGCATTGACATAGAAAAGGGAGGAGAAGCCTGAACTTTTGCCTGCTAAATCCCTTTGAAAATTCGGTCTCCTCGGAGATGGGGAGGGGGGAGACATTCCTGTGATCTGATGAAAAAGGAATCAAGAGAGTGACTTGGAAGATAGCCAATGAGAAGCAAAGAATTGGGGATCGGAAAGGGAGGGATTGGGGGACAAAGGTCAGTACTGACCGCGAAGAGTCAGGATCAGATTGCTGTGCTCGAATAAAGAGAAAATTTCCTTAAAGATCGGCAGTTTGGAAGTTCATTTATTTTGAGAAAGCATCGAAACCTGACACTCCGTTTTCGGCTGTGATGGCTTCCTGCAGCCCTCTGCCAGGGAAAATGGAGCGGCCCTCCTGAGCTCCATTTTTGCTGGCAGAAGCACCAGGCCGGTCCTTCATTGTTTCCAGGGTGGCCCCGCAGGCCAGATCTAAGCACCTTGTGAGCCACATCCGGCCCCCAGGCCTTGACTTTGACTTCCCTGACCTAGGATACCAAACCTTTGTTGCTGTTCTCTGCACTCTTTCCAGAGTCTCGATATCTTTTTAAAATTTTGGCGGTGATCCAAACTGGATGCAGCATTGCAATTGTGGCCTTATAAAGCGGTACTAACACTTTACGTGACATTGATACTATCCCTCTGTTGAGGCAGCCTAGGATTGCATTGGTTTTTTTTTTTTTTTTGGCAGCTGCAGCAAACTTTTTTATTTATTTATTTATTTATTTTTGCGTTTTCCTGACGTTGCAAAACACAGCGGGACAGAATCGAAAGAGACTCACCGCACAGCGGAGCGTTTCCAAAGATCTGTTCCACGTGGGTCAGGATGAACTCCACCACAATGGACTGGATACGGACTTCCATGAAGGCTGCGGTGCCATTGAAACCAGAGACTTCGATGTCCTTGGACCTGAGAAGGAGGCGAGAGAGGAAATGGAGGCGTCAGGAGTGGTGGGATTCAAATCATTTAACTGGTTCTCTGCCCTAATGACCGGCTGGGGTGGGCGTGGCCATGGTGGGCGTGGCCAGGGGGTGTGACAGGCAGCACTTGGCCTCCTGCAACCCCCTGGGAGCAAAAACGGGCCACGGGGGGGCGGGTCCTCCTGCTCCCTGTTTTGGGCCTAGGAGACCTCCCTGAAGCCTCCTGGGAGTGAAAATGGGCCACGGGGGGGCGGGTCCTCCTGCTCCCTGTTTTGGGCCTAGGAGACCTCCCTGAAGCCTCCTGGGAGTGAAAACGGGCCGCGGGGGGGCGTCCCCCTGCTCCCTGTTTTGGGCCTAGGAGACCTCCCTGAAGCCTCCTGTGAGTGAAAACAGGCTGCGGGGGCAGGGCACGCGCTGTACCTCCCGTGCTCCATTTGGGCCTAGGATAGGAGTCAGCGACCTGTGGCTCTGGAGCCGCATGTGGCTCTTTCACCTCTCTGCTGCTGCTCCCTATCACTCAAAATATGCGTCACAACCGCCAATGTGCGACACCCGCCGGCACACGATTTATTGAGCTTTTCAGCCCCCGGTAGGCCAACCATGGATAAATCCAAGAAAAGATAAATGTTTCAGAAGAAAACAGAACGTTTAATTCAACTACCTATCCTAGTTTTGGGACATGATCAGTGAAGTAAAGACAAGGATAGGGAAAGCTCGAACAGCGTTCTTCAAAATGGAAAACGTCTTCTGCAGTCACGACATAAGCCTAAGATTGAAAATCAGGCTTGTCAGATGTTCCATCTTTTCAATCCTGCTCTAAGGATTGGAGAATTGGTCTCTGACAGAAAACCACTTGAAGAAACTAGAAGCATTTGAAATGTGGATTGACAGGCGGCTGTTACCTAATTATTTATTTGATTTGATTTCTATACCGCCCTACTCCCGAAGGACTCAGGGCGGTGCACAGCCAAACAGTAAAACACATACATACAAAATTTAAAAGTAGAATTAAAATCAAATTAAATAATTTTGGCCCAGACAAATTAAAACCCCAAACTATTTAAAACCAATTTTAAAATTAAATATATAAAATACTAAAAGGTATTTAAAAATTAAAAATCTTTTATAAAAGAGGGAGAAGATTAGGCCAGACCCGCCTGGTGAAATAATAAGGTCTTTAAAGCGCGGCGGAAGGTGCGCAGATCTATAAGTTGGGTTAACAAAATCAGAAATGAGGAGGTGATAAACTGCCTGGGAAAGCGAAGGGAAATCATCAAAACTATTAAAAAGCAAAAGTTAGAATACTTTGGACATGTCATGCGACATCCAGAAAAATACGGTGTCCTTCACTTCGTCCTCCAGGGAAAGATTGAAGGCAAACGAGGTCCAGGCAGAAGAAGAATATCGCGGCTTCAAAACCTAAGGGACCGACCGGTTTGGACAAAACTCAGCAGCACTTTTTCACGCGGCCGTTGACAAAAATAAGATTGCCAACATGATCGTCAACGTCCCATGATGGACATGGCACAAGAAGAAGAAGAATGCCGCTCAATAAATAGTCCGGCCTGGGAAGGTTTTTGTGGCTCCCGGTGTTTTCTTTTCTGTGGGAAATGGGTCCAAATGGCTCTTTGAGTGTTTAAGGTTGCAGACCCCGGCACTTACCTGGGAGCCAAAATGGGGCACGTGGGGACTCCTGGAAGGAGCAGGGAGGGGTGGGGCAGTAATTTAAATGAATCCCACCACTGAGCAGATCTACTCATAGGAACAAAGCAATCTTAGCTGTTGTCCTTTTGTTCTTATTAGCTTCATCTTCATCCAGGCTTAGCTGCAGGAAGGCCTTGATTTATGACCCCTTTGCTTAGTGATCAAAGTTACGACGGGGCTGCGAAAGCGACCTACGACTGCTTCCTGCAGTTATGGCTGTTGCGTAATGCTCAAAGGTTCATGAAATTGGGCACGGCTCACTCAATGACCATATCACTTAGCGACAGATGTCTCAACTGCGGTCCTAAGCCAAGGGCTACCTGAAGATCACATTTTTCCTGGTCAAATCAGTTTATCAGGGAAGGATGAGAGAGAGATGTCTACTTCCCTTATTCAATAATAAATTGGAAAGGTTGTTTTTTTTTTTTTTTTAAATGTACTCCAAAACCACAAAAATCAAGGATTTTTGGTTCCACCTGGGATAGTCACGGATGGAAATATTGGACTGAAATAAACAAGCATAGCAGGAAAACGTGTATTCAAGATGGACTAGTGATTGACATTTATATGTATTTATATGTATCATCATCTTCTTTTAACGACCCCAGATTCCCTTGAAGGGTGGAGTCTGGGCAACTGAATGGAGCTGAGTGTTTACTGGATGCTCTTCCTGTCGCCAATGTGGAGTTATATTCAGCAGATACAGTATATTCTCATTGTCTCCAAGAGAAAAAAATACCTGCCTCTACCTAGCATCGAACCCACAGCCTCCTGATTGTGAGGCGAGAGCGCCACCTCTAGGCCACCACACCACTCTATGCATTTATATGTATGGGTGTAGGTATATACATATTGTTCTGCCCCAGCTACGGACCCCAAAGAACGCAGCACACACAAACTCTATACAAAGCTTATTTTAGTCAAATAACTCAGTCTTTATCAACCAAAGGCTGTTAATAAACTGTCTAAACAGCCTACAAGAATTCTGAGATAAGGTAATCACAGTCTTACTAGAGTTGGCAGAAAGCCCAGAAGCAATTTTTCAGAGAATCCAAACGTGAAGGAGAGTGAACTAAAGTTGTTCCCTACAAATTGCTGCAATCGGTGTTCCTCCTTAAATAGGCTAAGGGAGTGGCCAATTAACCCCAAGCCTTACTCTCGAGGAGACCTCCTCCTGAGGAGCCAGTCCTGCCTTTTGGCAGCTCTGCGCGCCCGTGCATTGAGAAGAGGCTCCTCCTCTTCTTCCTCTTCACTTATGGGAGCTTCTGGAGGTTCTGAAGGCCCTGGCTGAATCCCTGCCTCTGGCACCACATCTTCTCCAGCCTCCTCACTGCCCGACTCGAGCGCCAGCTGCACAGGCTGCTGGCGCAGCACCACACCAGCCTCCTCGTTGTCGGAATCAGCTACAATCTGCACGGCCGCTGATGGGCCACAACACATATGTATGTATATAACATATCTATATATGTGTATGCATATGTACACTTTTCAGAGCAGGCAACAGAATTTCATTTTGAATGTGTGCCAGTGTGCCCGCTGTAAAAAAAAAATAACAATAAAGATGATCTTATCTTAAAAAAAAAACATGTTTGTGATCTCAGTGCTATGTCACACCCAAGACCAAAACTGACATGTGTGTTCCTTCTGAGTAGTTTCTTCATGTTGTTTGCCTACAGACAGAATCTTGCCAGAGTAAAGTAACTACAAATAGTCCTTGATTTACAACAGTTCCTTTAGGGACTGCTCAAAGTTACAACTCACGACCGTTTTTCACACTTATGACCGTTGCAGCATCCCATCCCCTTGGCCTGGGGCTGGGGCTGCATCTGGCTCCTAAGAAGGTGGCTTGTTCTCCCCACACAGTGATTTGCATGGAAGATAATGTGACTTGGCCCCCCACCCAGGGGTGGGCTGCTGGGGGTTCGTAGGGGTTCGGGAGAACCTCTAGCTAAGATTCTGCACAGTTTGGAGAACACTCAAATCCCACTCCTGGCTGGCCCCGCCCACCCCACCCCATCCTTCCCAGGAGTCCCCACGCGGCCCATTTCGGATGCAGGTAAGAGGCTCAGGGAGGGTGAAAAACGGGTCTACTGGAAGTCCAAGAAGGCTGGAAATGGAACTGTTTCCGGCCTCCAGAGGGCCTCTGGAGCCTGGGGAGGCCGCTTTTGCCCTCCCGGAGGCTCAAGAAAAGCCTCTGGAACCCAGGGAGGGCAAAAACAGCCCACCTGTGGTGCAGGAGGCTGACTAGGCCACGCCCACCATGGCCACGCCCACCCAGCAACCGGGCAAAGAACCCCTTGCTAAAATTTTTGAATCCCACCCCTGCTCCCACCCTAAAGGACCCTAAGGGGGGGGTCCAGATTGGAAGCCTCCCCCACCCCCATGGCAACCTCTCTTACCTGAGCAGGTTGGGGGCCCAGACTATAGCCAGGTTCCTGACGTGCATGTTGGTCTTGGAACTGAAAGACGCCATCTGAACCAGGTGCCTCATCAAGAATTCCAGGGTTCTGGTTGCAAATTGGATTTCAGAGCAGAGACGGAAAGAGGAGAAAATCAAAAGATGATTTTGATCATGAGGCTCAATCGGTCTCAGATGGGAATCCTCTTGATTTGCCATTTACACCCATTTTCCCAGTCAGGAAGTGAATATCATTCGGTTAGTTTCTTAAACTTACAGAACCTCCTGCTCCTCCCCCTCTTCCCCTCCTCCTCTTCCTCCTCCCCTCCTCCTCCTGCTCCTCTCCCCCTCCTCCTCCGCCTCAATTTGTCCTCCTCCTCCCCTTCCTTCTTCTCCTCCTTCTCCTCCTCTTCTCATTCTTCTCCTCCTCCCCTTCCTTCTCCTCCTTCTCCTCCCCCCTCCTCCTCCTCTCCTCCTCTACCTCTTCCTCTCATTCTTCTCCTCCCCTTCCTTCTCCTCTTTCTTCTTCTCCTCCTCTCCTCCTCTCCTTTTTCTCCTCCTCCCTTCCTCCTCCTCCCTTTCCTTCTCCTCCTCCTCCTTCCCCTCCCTCCCCTCCTCTCCTTCCCTTTTTCTCCTCTCTTCCTCCTTTCCTTCTCCTCCTCCTCCCCTCCTCCTCCTCTCCTTCTCCTCTCCTCCTCCTCCTCTTCATTCTCCTCCTCCTTCCCCTCTTCTTCCTGCTCCCCTCCCCTCCTCCTCCCCTCCTCCCCTTTTTATCCTCTCTTCCTTTCCTCCTCCTCCTCCTTCCCCTCTTCCTCCTCCTCCTTCCCTCTTCCTCCTCCTCCTCCTCCTCCTCTGACAGAGCCAGAGGCAAACAGTGTCCCTGCAAATACCGGTGGTGTGGTGATGGCAGCTCCTTCAGCACTTCCTTGATCTTCTCCAGGCGGCTTTCTTCCAGCTGGATGGCCACCGCTTCCTGGAGGGAGGAGGACATTGATGGTCAGTCATCCATTCCATCTGCTCAACGCCCTCCTTGTTCTCTCACTCCAGCGGAGGAAAGAACCACTTGTTGCCTCTCAAAGCTGAACCGTTGAGTGATCAGTTGTAGGGACCGGGAGTTCAGAACGGGTCCAATCGGTCATGGAAATTTGAGTGGAAGATTAAAGGAGCACAAAATGGATTCCCACCTCCAGTAAGGATAACGTGTCAGGCCCCAAACCTAGAACCGCCCAGGGCAATCCTTCCAAGCTGAGCTCTTATTGATTCACATCTACAGACAGAATCTTGCCAGACTGAAGTATCTCCAATGGCATTTGCAATATACTCTGGGAACTATTAGGGAGGGACTGCCTTCACCCTCTTTCTCTCACACTGTTCTGATCTAGGCTCCCTTAAAAAGCAGGAAGCAGAGTCTTGGTCCCGGCAAAACCTCTTTTAATTACACGACTGTGAATCCCTTTCATTCACAGTCAGCAAGGCCTGTCCAAACAGTTTTTCAAAGGGATGTTTATCAACACAGACCTTATCTCGCTTGGCAAGCTGCCACGTAACTTGTTTCCAAACGCAGCACAAGGCCAAACTTGGCACAGAGTCTCTTAGAGTCACGAACAGAACTTCCCACTCTTGAAATGAACGAACGAATGAACGAATTGTTTCCTGCAAAAGCCCCCTCCCCGTTTGCTCCTCTTTTGTTTCCTATGGGAGGGGCCAATCACCTCCAAGGTGTGGCTTTACTCCCTGCTTTCTGAGTTGTTCTGGCAGCTCTGTGCATGCGCACACTTGGAACAGGCTCCAACTGTTCCTCTGCCTCTCTGCTGTCTAGCTCCCTCTCTGCCTCCGACACAGAGCCCTCGTCCGAGCTTTCCCCAGCCCCCAGGACTGGCCCAAGTTCCTCCCCAACCTCCTCACTGTCTGATTCTGCTGCCAGCTCCACTGGCTGCTGGCAGGCCACAACCAAGCATCGGTTCTACTTACCTTTACTACCAGTTTGCAACAGACCGCACGCGCTCGCTTTGCTCGGTGGGCTTCTGTGCCTGCTCAGAAGCTTCTGCGCATACACAGATCACCCATGATGGTGTCGTCGAGGGTGGACAGAGCCTCCCGCTGGTTTTACTACCGGTTCTATAGAACCGGACCGAACCAGGAGCAACCCACCACTGGCCACAACACACACATAATACCCAGGCTAAATTGTCTCTTCTTCCTCTGGAATGCAGCCCCTACTACGTCATCTTCCTTACTACATTCCTCACAATAAATGACCAGTTGTAAATCCATAACGACCTTACCTATCTGCATCTAGAATATACTATAGGAACTATTAGGAAGAAGCTTCGGAGTAACAGAGTTGGAAGGGACTTTGTAGGTCTTCTGGTCCAACTCCCTGCTCAGGAAACCCCTACACCATTTCAGACAAATTTGGTTGGTTGTCCAATGTCCAAATTTGGTTTGGTTGTCCAATTTCTTCTTAAAAACTTCCAGTGTTGGAGCCCCCACAACCCCCTGAAGGCAAGTTGTTCCACTGATTATTTTTTCTAACTGTCAGGAAATTTTTACTTAGTTCTAGGTTGCTTCTCTCCTTGATGAGTTTCCATCCATTGCTTCTTATCCTGGCGTCTGGTGCTTTGGAGAACAGTTTGACTCCCTCTTCTTTGTGGCAACCTCTCAAATAGTGGAACACTGCTATCCGGTCACCCTTAGTCCTCCTTTTCATGAAACTAGACATTAGCAGATTAACACAGTTGGAAGGGACCTTGTAGGTCATCTAGTCCAACCCCCCACCCAAGCAGGAGACCCTACACAGTTTCTGACAAATGGCAGTCCAGTCTCTTCTTGAAAGCCTCCAGTGATGAAGCTCCCACAACTTTTGAAGACAAATTCTGTTCCATGGGTTGATCGTTCTCACTGTCAGAAAATTCCTCCTTATTTCCAGGTTGAATCTCTCCTTGGTCAGTCTCCATCCATTGTTCCTTGTCTGGCTTTCGGATGCTTTTGTAAATAGCTTGACTCCCCCTCCTCTCTGGGGCAGCCCCTCAAATATTGGAAGACTGTTATCAAGTCTCCCCTGGTCCTTCTTTTCATTAAACTAGACATACCCAGTTCCTGCAACTGTTCTTTATATGTTTTAGCCTCCAGTCCCCTAATCCTCTCGGTTGCTCTTCTCTGCACTCTTTCCGGAGTCTCCACACCATTTTTATAGTGTGGTGACCAAAACTGGAATAAAAGTCTTGGTAGTACAGTGGTCTAAAGCACCCTGTTATTAAGACCAGCTGCCTGCAATTACTGCAGGTTCGAATCTCTCCAAGGCTCAAGGTTGACTCAGCCTTCCATCCTTTCTAAGGTAGGTAAATTGAGGACCCAGTTTGTGGGGGCAATAAGCTGACTTTGTATAAATATACAAAAAAGTATGAAGGCTATTGCTTAACGCATTGTAAGCCGCCCTGAGTCTCCGGAGAAGGGCGGCATATAAATCAAAAAATTTTTAAAAAAGATAACGAATCAATGAACTGAAACGAAGGGCAGCCTGCAACCGTCATACTCACCGCAAACTTATCATACAGCTGGTAGGTCAGGAGTGGATTGGGCAGCTCCCTGAAGTAAGCTTTGCAAATGGAGCTCACACAGTGGACATCCTTCAGATAGTCCTCTTTGTTGAGGTCAGGATTCCGGTCATTTTCGAACTCAAGCCTGAGAAGGATTTAAGGGGGGTGGGGGTGGGGTGGAGAAAATGAGAAGGTAGTGGGACCCAGCAAAGATCAGGATCAGAAGATCACAATACAGGTAAGTCCTGAACTTACAGCAGCTTGTTTAGTGACCAAAGTTACAAGGGCACTGAAAAAAGGGATCATTTTTCACACTTATGACCTTTGCAGCTTCCCCATTGGTCATTTACATTCCCCATTTACATTCGGATGCTTGACAATTGGTTCTTTTTAAAAAAAAAAAAATTATTGAAATTTATTATAGTACAATACAATACAATCAGTCAGATAGTGTTACTTTTCTACTCAGGTTAGATCGATTCTTCCTTTACATTTCATAGTTCCAGATTCATATATACTTATACTGGCATGCATAATATATATATATATATATATATATATATCTTAAGATTTGTATTAACGTTCATCTATTCTTTATTCAGTTATCAATCCACCTGAACCAATCATCCCATTCAGTGGTGAAATCTAAAATTTGTTACTACCGGTTCTGTGGGCATGGCTTAGTGGGGGGGGCGGTGTAATGTGACTGGGTGGGCGTGGCCAATTTTTTTATTTTTATTTTTTATTTTTAAAACCATTTTTTCTACAAAGGTTGTAAAAAAAAATGCTTTTAAAGCCTCTGACGATCCCAGCTGAGTTGCCTGATTGGCAGAGGCTTTTTTTCTTTTAAATGTCTCTGATGATCAGGCAACTCAGCTTGGATCGTCAGAGGCATTTAAAAGAAAAAAAAGGTTTTTTTTCTTTTAAAAGCCTCTGACGATGCCAGCTCAGCCGCACGATCATCAGAGGCTTTTTTTTTTACTTTTAAAAGCATTTTTTCCACCAGAAAAAATGCTTTTAAAAGTTAAAAAAAAACAGCCTCTGATGATTGCGCAGCTCAGCTGGGCAATGGGGGGGGGCGGGGGGGCAGGGATTTTTGCTACCGGTTCTCCGAACCACCCGCCTCCATCTCTACCGGATCAGGCGATCCGGTCCGAACCGGGAACATTTCACCCCTGATCCCACACCATATAATATTCTGAATCTTCTTTTTCGTTTAGTTAACTAACGTTAATTTGTTCATTTCGGCAACATTCTAAAACTTTCTGAATAATATGTTCCTCTGATGGTGTATCCTTTCCTTTCCAATATTGGGCATATTGTATTCTCGCTGCAACTGAGTATATGAATAATTAAATATCTTCCTCCCACTCCCCCCTCCATATTTAGTCTTTAGTATTCCCAGGAGAAATGTTTCAGGTGTCAATTCAATTTTTTCATTAGTTGATTCTTGTAGCCAATTGACAACTGGTATTTGTGACGGTTGCAGTATTCCAGGGTGGGGTGGGGGCATGTGTCATGTGCAGTGGTGAAATCCTAACTGGTTTGCTACTGGTTTGCTGGCCGCGCATGAACGCTGTGTGCCAAATGCGCACTGCAGTGAGTATGCTCAGTGCACACTAAAAGGAATCTTGGGAAGGTAAGTAGAACAGTGAGAGATAATGAAATAATTATATTATAACGAAGTCAGTGGTTTATAAAGAGAATCAATACAAAATGTGGTATAGATGGTATCTGGCCCCTTCGAGATTAGCAAAAATGTATTCAAATCTAAGTCCAACCTGTTGGAAGTGCAAACAGGCACCGGGTACTTTCTTCCACATCTGGTGGCTTTGCCCAAAAATTAGGAAGTATTGGGAAAAAGTAAGAATTTGGCTAATAGAAATAACATCGGAAAAAATAGAACTCAAACCAGAGATTTTCCTACTAGGGATGATTAAAGAAAATTATTGGAAAGAAATAAAGTATTTAATATTACATATAGTCACTGCAGCCAGATTGGCGGTCGCCCAATATTGGGAAACTGACCAACTGCCAACGGACCAATTGATAATCCAAAAAATCTATAATTGCGCGGAAATGGACAAACTAACATTTGAAATGAAGGACAAGATAGACTCAAAATGTTATATAGCGTGGAATAGGTGGTATGATTGGATAACTCATAGAAATGAGAGTAAATGAAAAAATTTGTATAATAATAATTAACAAATATGCACCGTTAATAAGATAATGGACGTGTGACCAAAGTCACTTTTTCTTTTATGTATTGTCGTTTGTATTAATATATATGTATCTTGTATATACATAGTATAGTATTTTACTTTTATATGTTTAATAAAGTTTTGTTTTTAAAACCAAAAAAAAAAAAAAAAAGAACAGTGAGAGAGGGGTGGAAATCAACTGTGGCGCGTGATTTAGCTTTGCTAGAAAGCAGGAAATCCTACTTTTTTGTGCTAGAAATTTGCTAGAAAGAAGGAAAGCGCCACAGCTGATCATCGGAAATACCGGTTGGGAGGTAGCTCTTTTAAACCGGAGCAAACCGGTAGCATTTCACCCCTGGTCATTTCATCCCTTTTGCGACCTTCTGACAACCAAAGTCAATGGAGAAGCCAGATTCACTTAACAACCGTGTCACTAACTGAACACATTCAGTGATTCGCTTAACAAATGTGGCAAGAAAAGACATAAAATGGGGCAGATTTTCTCACTGCACAACTTAAATGTTGGGCTCAGTTGTTGTCATAAGTTGAAGACTACTTCTAGTCCAGTGGGGAAATGTAAAATTTGTTACTACCGGTTCTGTGGGCGTGGCTTGGGGGGGGTTAATGTGACTGGGTGGGTGTGGCCAACTTTTTTTTTTTCTTTTACTTTTAAAAGCATTTTTTCTACAACCTTAAGAGGTTGCAGAAAAAAATGCTTTTAGAAGCCTCTGACGATCAGGCAACTCAGCTGGGATCGTCAGAGGCTTTTCAAAGCATTTTTTTTTCTACAACCTCTTCAGCTGAAGAGGTTGCAGAAAAAAATGCTTTGAAAAGCCTCTGACGATCCCAGCTGAGCCACGCGATCATCAGAGGCTTTTTTTTTTTTTACTTTTAAAAGTATCTTTTCGGCCGAAGAGGTTGCAGGAAAAAATGCTTTTAAAAGTAAAAAAAGAAGCCTCTGATGATTGTGCGGCTCAGCTGGGCATGGGGGGGCAGGGATTTTTGTTACCGGTTCTCCGAACCACCCACAGCCATCGCTACTGGGTTAGGCGATCCGGTCCGAACCGGGAGCATTTCACCCCTGCTCTAGTCCCATCCGTGAAGTGGAGAGCTTAAATTGTGGGGAAGGGGAAACGTTTGAGGGGAGGCCACATTCCTTATCAGAGACCCCACCTGTAAGGTGGTCTTTGGTCCCTCTCAAAACCAGAGAAGCCTCAAAACTTTCCCATAAAATCTAAAGTCCAAAGGTACTTACAGGCAGGAGTGGGCTTCATAAATTTAGCAAGGGGTTCTCTGCCTGGTTGCTGGGTCGGTGTGGCCATGGTGGGCATGGCCTAGTTGGCTCCTGCACTACATCGGGGGGGTGTTTTTGCCCTCCCCGGGCTCCGGAGGCTTTCCTCGAGCCTTCGGGAGGGTGAAAACGGCCTCCCCAGGCTCCAGAGACCTTCTGGAGGCCCATTTCTGACTTCCTGAACTTCCAATAGGCCCATTTTTCGCCCTCTGAGCCTCCGCAGGTGCCCTGCACTTACCTGCATCCAAAATGGGCCATGTGGGGACTCCGGGAGGGGCGGGATGGGGTGTGAGGGGCCAGCCAGGAGTGGGATTTGGGGGTTCGCCGAACTGCACAGAATCCTAGCTAGAGGTTCTCCTGCGAACCCCCCACCCCTACTTAGAGATCATCTAGTGATCATCTAGTGTTTAAATGACAATGTTTAACCTAATGAAGAAAAGACTTTTAGGGGAGGGTCTATGACAATTCGCCACAGCCAGGTGTGCTATTCAGCAGGTTCTGACAGGTTCTGGAGAACCGGTAGCGGAAATTTTGAATAGTTTGGAGAACCGGCAAATACCACCTCTGGCTAGCCCCAGAGTGGGGTGAGAATGGAGATTTTGCAGTATCCTTCTCCCAGGAGTGGGGAGGGAATGGGGATTTTGTAGTATCCTTCTCCCAGGAGTGGGGAGGGAATGGGGATTTTGTAGTATCCTTCTCCCAGGAGTGGGGTGAGAATGGAGATTTTGCAGTATCCTTCTCCCAGGAGTGGGGAGGGAATGGGGATTTTGCAGTATCCTTCTCCCAGGAGTGGGGAGGGAATGGGGATTTTGTAGTATCCTTCTCCCAGGAGTGGGGAGGGAATGGGGATTTTGCAGTATCCTTCCCCCAGGAGTGGGGAGGGAATGGGGATTTTGCAGTATCCTTCCCCCAGGAGTGGGGAGGGAATGGAGATTTTGCAGTATCCTTCTCCCAGGAGTGGGGAGGGAATGGGGATTTTGCAGTATCCTTCTCCCAGGAGTGGGGAGGGAATGGGGATTTTGCAGTATCCTTCCCCCAGGAGTGGGGAGGGAATGGAGATTTTGTAGTATCCTTCTCCCAGGAGTGGGGAGGGAATGGATATTTTGCAATATCCTTCCCCCACCATGCCCACCAAGCCACGCCGACAGAACCGGTAGTAAAAAAATTGAATTCCACCACTGGCCACAGTCTACTCGCCATGGCCGTCTCGCCACAAGACAACTCACTGCGGGACAAGAGTTATACTAATATCAAAGAAATGGTGGAACGGAATCATTAAAAAAAAGGATGCAAAAAAAAAGGAGGGACAGAATGAAATGGCAAAAATTAATTTTTTTCCCGCATTCATGAAACCAAAAGAAAAACGGAGCTCGGGAGGGCCCTCCCGAGCTCCGATTTCGCTGGCAGAGGGTTGCAGGAGGTTGTCCCAGCCAAAAACAGAGATTGGCAGCCTGTTTTCGCTGGCAGGCCGGTCCTTCACTGTTTCCAAGACAGACCTGTGGGCCGGATCTAAGAACCCCACGTGCGAGATCCAGTCCGCGGGCCTTGAGTTTCACACCCCTGCCCTAATCCATTAGACTAGAACAGGGGTCGGCAACCTTAAATACTCAAAGAGCCACTTGGATCCGTTTCCTACAGAAAAAAAAAACC